AGCACCTCGGATCCTTCCTTCGAAGGTGAGAATTGCGATTGCGAGCATGAAANCGCCATGAATGAAACAAACGACGCTGAGTGGGTTAAAACGGCGATTTCTGACAAAATCGTTTTCAGTCGTTTTTTGGCATTCAGAAGGCCATTTAGCGGAAATGGACCATAGTTTTATACTCAGTGCTCATGCCCCTATACCATGCAAAAAACCATTTTCAAAAAGCGTTCCACGCCCTGCAGGACCTTCCTTGTAAGTATGTTGTATACGACGGAGATTCTGAAGGGCGTCTTGTCCCGATATGAGTGGCAGGTCTTGGATGACACGACCGAAGACTACGACGTACTGGTTCGGGCTCTCCTCACTTGTGCTGAACAGGCTAAGCTTCCTCGAGTGGATACCTCCACTCGCATTTCAGATGCGATGAAGGATCTTGTCAGGACAAGAAGGAACTTGAGGCTCGGAAAAAAAGGAACCAGAACGCCCACACCTTGAAAGGCTGTAAGCGAATATCAGCTGCAGACAGGCGGCGCGGCGAGGCCTTTAGCTGTACAGGGAGAGAACACCCTTAGAGGCAGCCTTGAACAGAACTAGCCTGAGGAAATGTCATCGGGATCTCCAGGACCACAGTATTCCACTTTCACGTTTGAAGAAGAGGGACTGAACAATTACAACGTCGGGATTTGAGATGGAGGAAGTTACAGGAGGTTTCATACCAGCCTGCATCGATTCACGACACACGTGCGAAAACCAAAAATCCTCACTGGCGGAACAGCACCTCGGATCCTTCCTTCGAAGGTGAGAATTGCGAGCATGAAAGGGTGCACTGCAGGCCCAGACAAAGTCTCGGCCGACTTACTCTGTGCAGAACTTCATGCGCTTCTCGCAACACACACGACATCCTACCTCCAGAAGGAGAAGGTCCCAGCCAGTGGAGGAACTCGCTGATTTCCATTCTCCACAAGAAGGGGACCGGGATGATCTTTGCAGTTACCGCCCAATAAGCTTGTTAAGCAAGCTTTGCAAGCTGTTCACGAAGATCACCTGTAGAGCAGGCGGGATTCCGGGAGGGATTCAGCTGCTTGGACCAAATCCAAGCGGTCGCAATGGTCATCGAAGTGTTCCGATAATTCCGAATGCCTCTTGTCCTTACCTTTGTTGACTATGAAAAGCTTTTCAGAGCGTCAGGACAAATGCAATCCTATCAGCACTGGTCGATCAAGGAGTGGACCCTCCCTAAATAGGAACACTAGCTGACAAGGCGACACTATTTTGCCGAAACGGTTCACAGCCGCGTTGCAGTGGGTTAGAAGTCGCAAGACTGGGAGGAAAAGCATTCGTGCGGATGGACGGTCCCTCTCAAATCCCATCTTTGCGGAAGCTGAGACTAAGCTTGCTGAGATCAATAAAGCAGGAAAGAAGGTAGGGCTGCGGATCAACCAAACAAAGATACAGTTCATGAAGAATACTTGGGCTGACGAATGTCCGTTCTTCCTGCGCTCTGTTACGGATCGGAAACTTGGGTGACCAGTGCATCCACGTCAAGGGCTTTGAGCACAAGTCACAGAGCACTCGAGCGATGTCTTTTGAAGTTCAGTCGGCTCACTCAAATCGAGCCGGATTCCGCAACTCCGACATGTGCAGAATGTCTCGACTCCGCGGTACAGTGGAATACATGAAGAAAACAAAATTTCGGTTGACGGGTCATGAAATGAGAAGAAATTATGACAGATAAGCAAGAAGCACAGCCGAGTGGCTCCCGTAAAATCTTCACGATCTAAGGGTAGGCCTGCTACGAGATGGAGATTTGCTCTTCGACACGTGAAACAGCTGCGACGGAGAACGTTCGTTGCGCGCGTCCGTCAAAAGTAGGTCACCCCGCCCACTTCACGCGCGGCGCACTCCACTGAGGTCTCGAGGTGACATTACAGTACAACCAAGGGTCAGTGGAGCGAGTGATTTGCATTTTGTCGTGTTATCTTCTCTTTTGGCTGAATGCTGTGGACCATGCGCACCTCGTATGCCCGCTGTCAACTGCGACGTTTACCAAAGATCGCGGGCTGAACAGCCGCATGCGACGGCTTCGGCGTGACCTAGTTTCGACGGACGCGCGCGAAGTAGCTGACGACTCCTCACATCGTCATCTTCGTCGAATTTGAGTCTACCATGGATGTCGATCGCGAGAGACAGAAGCGAATAATCTGTTGCTGGTGCTCGTACATGGATGAAGACGAGCAGTACAAGTATAATTTAGTGCCAGTACGTGTGGTAACTCTCGGACGAATAATTTAATAGGCTAATTTCTTCAAAAGGCAAGGCTCGCTTTTCCCTTTCGGTATCTTTACTTCCTACTCCATTTTTGGAGATGTATGAAAGAAACAGTGACCTTCCGTTCAAATGCGAAACTTTAAAGATGAAGCCTAATGGGATTCGCCGGCTGCGCTCTAATCGCCGCGAACAACGCGACCCAGTGAGAACCCGGATTACTGTGTAATACATTCACGGGACGATTAAATCCGTCTTGTACCTTTGGATGCATTCAGACTTCGACGTCCGTTCGTCGTGCGTGCTAAAACGGCGTTCGCGTACGTGGCGCGATCGCGGTTCTAGAAAGGTGTTGACAGCGTCGAATATCGATCGATGCTGCAAGACAAGGGGATGACTAATTTCTTCATCATGCTTTGCGGTATAGATCGGTAGCCAGCCTTGCTAACACCTGTCTAGCGCCGCCATCGCAGCATGCACGCGACGGACGGACGGACGTCAAAATCTGAAAACAGCCAAAGCATCCCTTCCCACGACTCAACCGTGAGTAATATGGGGGGGGGGGG